AAGACCAAGAACCTGCTGCAGGAGCGGAACGAAGTACGGCCGAGGCCGCGCGGCAGCTCCAGACTCAGCAGGGACAGCACCACCACCCTCAGCGACAACACCAGCGCCACCCACACCTCCAGCGGCAGGACCAACAGCAGTAGGCTCAGCACCAACGCCCTCAGCAGCTCCAGCTCCAGGAGGACCCGCAGGTCCAGCAGCTCCAGGACCGGCAGCACCCGCACCCTCGACGGTCGAAGAAGCTCCAGCTCCAGCTCCAGCAGCACCTCCAGACTCAGCAGCACGCCTCGAGCAGCGAGCGAACCACTCGCGCAGCTCCTGTGGAGAGAGGGGCTCCCGGCGAGACGCAGCAGCAGGAGAAACCCCAGGCTCAGCAGCTCCAGACGCAGCACCCCCAGGCTCAGCAGCTCCCAGCTCAGCACCCCCAGGCTCAGCAGCTCCCGACCCAGCACCCCCAGACCCAGCACCTCCAGGCACAGCACCCCCCGGCTCAGCACCCCCAGGCTCCGCACCCTCCGCAGTAGCACCCTCAGGCCCAGCACCCCCAGCAGTAGCACCCCCAGGCTCAGCACCCCCGCGCACAGCACCCCCAGAGTCAGCACCCCCAGGCTCAGCACCCGCAGCAGCACCAGAGTCACCAGTAACCTCGACCGGGTCAACGGCGTCTACCTGGGACACACCTGAGGGGGCAGGAACCTGAGGGGGGAGGGGGTCTACCGGGGGGGGAACCGGCACAAGGAAGTCCGGGGGAGGGGGGAGGGAAGGAGTGCGGTAGGGGAAGAGACGGTAGAAGGGGACTGACTCGTCGAACGTGACGTCCTGGGAGGACAGAACACGACGAGAGGAGGGGTGGTAAAACTGCCACCCTGGGGCGTCAGTGGGGAAGCCAAGGAAGACACAGGGAGCAGCACGAGGGGACAGCTTGTCCGCAGACAAGTCGCGGACAAACGCCCGAGATCCCCAGACACGGAACACAGACGCATCGCCAACCTTCCCCGTCCACAGCAAGGCTGGGGACATCGCCGGCCGAGAGACCCGGGGGTGAAGGTTGAGCTGATGCGCCGCGTACCTCACCGCAAACGGCCACAGAAAATAGGGGGCAGCCGCATGCATCATGGACGTACGAGCAACATCCATGACCATGCCAATGCGGCGCTCAGCAATCCCATTTTGCTGTGGTGAGTCCGGAAGCGTGAAGGTCTGGCGAATCTCGCGTGCACGACAGTAGTCCCGCAGAAGGCGAGAAGAGAACTCTCCGCCTCTGTCCGAGTGCAGACGCAGAACAGGAAAGTCCGAGCCGAAGCTCTTCCTGAGCTGGAGACGAGCCTCGCGGATCCAGTCGATCAGCACCTCAGTGACCGCACCCTTGCTGCGCAAGGGGAGGACTGTGGTGTAACGCGAGTAGTCGTCAACCACCAACAGGAAGTAGCGCTCGTGACCCTGCCCACGGACGGGGGCTGGGCCCCACACATCCATGTGAAGCAACTGCAGGGGAGCCTCTGTCGGGGGGAAGTGGGAGGAGTGAGGAGTAGCCCGGAGGCGACCCTCGACACAGGGGACACAGGAAGGTCCTGGCCCGGAGGGGAGAGGAGGGAGAGACTGGGGAAGACCAGAGACAAGGACACGGGAAGCCATGCTCCGAAGACGGGGCAAGGAGGGGTGGCCAAGACGGTGGTGCCACAGGAGAGTCTCGTGAGACAGGAGGCGACAAGAACAGGGGGCAGACTCAGGACCTGACCGGGACGCAGCAGCAAGCACCTGACCCGACGCAGCCACCTGACCAGACGCAGGGACAGGAGGAGACTCAACGGTCAGGGTGTAGAGACTCGACCCCGGCCGACGCGAGAACGTGGCCAGGTGTCGGCCTGTGCGTGCCTCCGTGCAGTGGGTCACCCGCTGACTCGCAGGAGTGAACTGGTGAACCCCCACATCCTGCAGGTCCGCACCACTCACCAAGTTCGTAGAGAACGAGGGAAGGTACAGACCAGACAGGGTGCCCGAAGGGGCAGCCGGACACGGGAGGACAGTGGAGAAGTGAGACAGGACAGGACCCCCAGAGGGGTCAGCAAGGGAGACCGCAACCGGCCGGCCGAGCGGCGTAAGGGTAGTGCGGTCTCGAAAGAAGGAGCGAGAAGCCCCGGAGTCAAGTGTGAAAGTGAGGGAGGACGAGGACGACGCAGTACCTGAGAGCGCAGTCTCACCAGTACCTGAGAGCACAGACGCACTGGCACCTAGAGCAGCAGCCTCACAAGCACCTAGCGCAGCAGTACCAATGCCCGGGTCGGGCTGGAAACACCGGTAACCCTCATTCTCCTCACTATACTCCACAGCATACATAGCAGCAAGGATAGCATCAAAATCAAGATCAAAGATCGCTACACCAGCCCTTAGAAGCTCATCCCAGCGAGGGATCTCACTAGCCCCAGGGAATTGCTGACGCCAAGCGTCCGTCAGGCGGCCAAAGCAGCGCTGGGTGGCGTGGGCACCCCCACACTGCTCACCCGCGCGGTCGCCGGAACGAAGAACGTAGGTGCAGGGACCAGTACCCCCACCCCTCTAACGCCCAGCGTACCACTCACGAAGCTGCTGAGGCAGAGGGATGTCCCGCGAGCGCTGCTGCTGCTGCCGCTGCGAGCGCTGGCCACCACCACCGCCGCTACGCTGCTGGGTACCACCTCGACCAGCTCTACCTCCTCCACCACCACCGCCTCCTCCGCTGCCGCCTCCACCGCCTCCACCTCCGCCGCCTCCACCTCCGCCGCTGCCTCCACCACCACCGCTGGCACAACCACCACCGTCTCCGCCGCTGCTGCCACCACCACCACCACCCCCGCCACTAGTCCCGCCGCCACCCCCACTCCCTCCGCCGCCACCGCCGCCACCGCCACCGCCCCCTCCAGCTCCACCCGCGCCCTTGCCCCCCTTGCCCTTGCTGGAGCGACGTCTCCCACTAGGGGTAGACGCCGCGCCGACCGACTCAAGACCAAGCAGGTCGGCAGCAGCAGAAGAGGCAACAGGGGGCAGCAAGGGGGAAGGAGAGCACCCCTCAAAGATGGGGGTGCGAGGGTCACCACGAGAAGCACCTACAGCGACTATGCTCTTCTCCGCTGCGAGGAGGGCCTTCTCGAGGAGGTCGACGGTGAGGGTGGTGGGACAGACTGCGAGAAAGTGGTCCCTGACGACGCGAAGGGAGTCAGGGAGGCGCGCGACTACGTAGTAGAGAGCGATGTACATGGGGGGTGGGTTCTTAGCGCAGAACTCAGCAGGAAGGGCGGCGCGGTAGCGAGTGTCACTAGTGCGGAGGTGCGTAATGAGGTCAGCAACAGTGGGAAAGGCAGAGAGGTCAAGAAAGAGGTAGGGAAGCATGAGACGGCTCAGTGCAGCAGTGGCAGGGGAGGAGTAGCGCGCAACTACAGCGTCGTACAAGGTCTGAGCACTCTTGTACTGACTAAAGTGCGCACGCTCAGAGGTAGGGAGGTGGCGACGCACAGCAAGACGTGCAGCAGCATCGCGGGTGGCCCACTGAGAGCGGACAGTGGGATCAGCATCAGCAGCAGGAGCAGGAGAGGCGCCAGAGGTGAGGTCAAAGAGAGAAAGGTCGTCAGCCCTGTCGCACTGTAAGAACAGCTGCAGGTCGTCTAACCAGACCTCAAAATCAATGGCGCGACCCTCAGCGTCAAAAGCTAGGACACTAGGGGTAGCCATGGCGACGACAGCGACGCAGTGCAAGCAGTAGGGAAAGAGCTCGCAGTGACAGTGGGACTGTGCTCACCAGGCAGGGCAGGTCGTGCAGCTCTGCAGAAAGGCGGCTCAGCGACCGGGCGGCTCGGGTGCACAGCGGCTCGGCTCCCGGGCGGCTCGGCGGCTGGGCGGCTCGGGCGCAGGGCGGCTCGGCTCCCGGGCGGCTCGGCGGCAGGGCGGCTCGGGTGCAGGGCGGCTCGGCTTTCGGGCGGCTCGGCGGCAGGGCGGCTCGGGTCCCGGGCGGCTCGGCGTTGGGCGGCTCGGCTCCCGGGCGGTTCGGCTGCTGGGGCGGCTCTGCTGCTGGGGCGGCTCGGCCGGGAGATGCAGGGGCGGGGCCGTCAGGTGCAGCGGCGGGTCGACCGGTGCAGCGGCGGGCCGGCAGGTGCAGCGGCGGGGCCGTAGGGTGCAGCGGCGGGCCGACCAGGTGAGGCGGCGGGCCGTAGGGTGCAGCGGCGGGCCGTAGGGTGCAGCGGCGGGCCGGCAGGTGCAGCGGCGGGGCCGTCAGGTGAAGCGGCGGGCCGCTGGGTGCAGCGGCGGGCCGGCAGGTGCAGCGGCGGGCCGGCAGGTGCAGCGGCGGGGCCGTCAGGTGAGGCGGCGGGCCGTAGGGTGCAGCGGCGGGCCGTAGGGTGCAGCGGCGGAGCCGGCGGTGGGGCCGCGTCAGTGGAGGCGGCGGGGCCGCGTCAAGCAGGCGGCGGGGCCGCGACGAAGCGGGCGGCAGGGCCGCGTCAGAGCCGGCGGCGGGGCCGCGTCAGTGGAGGCGGCGGGGCCGCGTCAAGCAGGCGGCGGGGCCGCGACGAAGCGGGCGGCAGGGCCGCGTCAGAGCCGGCGGCGGGGCCGCGTCAAGCAGGCGGCGGGGCCGCGATCAGGAGGGGTGGCGGGGCCGCGTCTGAGGGACAGCGGGGCCGCGAGGGAAATGGCGACCCGAGGGGTCGCTAAAAAAAAGGCGCGCCTCGGGGCGCGCTTCGGTGGGCCCTAAAAAAAAACGGTCCTAAGGAAGGACCCGCTCTATACCATGTGAAACAAGTGAACAGGAATGAAATGACTAAGTCAGAGTTGGGTACAAATACAACCCTAGAAAGCTGTACCCCATATGTGCTACCCCACTATAGCCTACAAACATGCATCAGCTATAATACTCTGACAGCGACGACAGCGACGAGGAACACAGCGACGACGGCGACGAGGATTGGCCAGAGAACGGCCACGACGACAGCGCTTCGGGGGGATGAAGTAGCCCCTGCCAACATTGATGAGGACAAATGGTGGAATCGGCCGGTTGGGAGCGACGACGAAGTGGAAGAGTGGCAGGCTGGTGATTCAGACAACGACGAGGGTGCCGATGCTGATGGCGAGCACGCGGAGGCAGCTGCACATGCAACGGGAGCGACGGGCGATGGCGTTGCGGAGGCTGACGGTGAGGTGGATGCGGAAGCGAGGACGACGACGGTGGAGGCGGATGCGGAGGCTGACGACGAGGCAGAGGCGGAAGCGGATGCCAATGCTGTTGCGCCCGCGAATGTGGTCGCAATTGCGGATGCGGATGCTGCGGAGGGAGGTGCCGATGACGACCCGTGGAGCATCACGGATGACAACAATGTTCCGCTTCTGAAGCGGAGGCTGTGTCATCGCCTACAGTCCAAGCCGAAGCGTGCCCGCGTGGTGCTCTCTGATGACGACAGTCCTGGGGAGCAGCTTCAACCGCGCATCTCTGTTGCAGACAAGGGGAAAACCAAGGTCGCGGAAGCCCCTGCTAAGGCCACCGTTCATCGCCACCCAAGCACCAAGAAGCGGAAGAACGACGGCGACCCCGTATCCAGCACGGGTGCTGCTAAGAAAAAGAAGAAGGGGCCAAACAAGGACGATATCATGGTCAATGGGGCGCTCGGCAGCAACGATGACTACGCGGAGGCGGCAGACCCGATTCCTTCATTCCCTGAGAAGGCGCAGCCGAAAGACGTCACCCTCCATAATCCCAACTCCCGTCCACCTTCCCCTCACAGCAAGCACAGTAAGAAAAGGTGCCGTAGATGGACCATACGCGAGAAGCTCAAGAAGGCGCGCCACTACCAGGAGCTCGGCTCCTTGAAGAAGACTTCCTTGGAATCTACCGCATCTATCGCCTGCATCAGACGCTGGAGTGCGGAGGCTGCCGCGGGCGTCTACAAAGGAGCGGCGAACTGCCGCAAGCGGATGCACGGGGGGGGGCGCCATGCACACTACCCCGACATGGAGGCGGCATTGTACCGCTACGTCTGTCTGCAGCGCGCTAATGGGGTGGCCATCTCGGTGAAGGACACCCAAAAGTGGAGCCGCAAGTGGATGAAGAAACACCACCTCGGCAAGAACTGGAACGCAAGCTCTCACTTGTGCCAGCGTTTCCGTGACCGCTGGAACCTAGTCATGCGGGTGAAGACCAAGGTCGGCCAACGGTTATCGGCTGGTGAGTGTTAAATGCTTTGAATTCGCGCTCGATGCTTGACTACATGTTCCTTGCCCTTTGTTTCTAACCATCCCCTCATGCCATGGCATGTGTTCCTTTTGCAGAGTGCGCTAAGGACTGCGAGTCGTTCTGGAAGTTCGTGCGCATCAACAGGGTGCGGCACAACATCGACCTGGCCCGCATCATCAGCGCGGACCAGACCCCTCTCTTCGTTGAGATGCCGGCCGAGAGGACGATCGAGCACCATGGACCGCGCTCGGTCCCAATCCGCACTGCAGGATACAAGAAGACGCGGCTCACGGTGATTCTCGCATGCACCGCATCCGGGGAGAAGCTGCACCCTTGGGTTTGGTTCAAGCTGAAGAACGTGCCCAACTATGAGATTCCGGAAGGTAAACTCAAAAAATCCGGGACCGTAAGCCTGGTGAGCTTGCCCTCCTTGACTGACGCCCGTCTATCCCCTATGTGCCTGGCAAGAATCGTATGCCAAGCACAGGATAACGGGTGGATGGATGAGAGCGATGTGCAGACCTGGCTGACCAAGGAGGTGCTGCCCCATCTGAACCCTCAGCGCGGCCAGAACGCGAGGCGTGCGATACTGGTGTTGGGCTTCTACCGCGGCCACATCACCCAGACTATGCTACAATCTTACCGCACGCACAGCATCACCCCTGCAGTGATCCCAGCGGGTTGCACGAGCCATATTCAACCCCTTGACGTCAGCATCAACCGGTGCTTCAAGGCTGGTGTGCGAGCGCGCTATGCCAGGTGGTTCATGTGCACCTGAAGACGAAGAAGGGTGAGTAGCCATTTGAATTAAACTTCTGCTCTGTTTTCTTTCCATGTCTCTAACAGGTCGCTACCCTTGCCTCCGTCCCACCCGCATGGAACCTGCGGAGGCTGTGAGAATAGAGCGAGAATGAATGAACTATGAGTGAAGTGAGTACAAATAGCAAAACCCTAATTGGGTTGTACCCCCTATGGTATACCCCACTGTAGCCTACACAACAGCATAAGCTACATATATGTTCTGACACACCCCCATAGGCAAAGTGGGGGAGAACAAGGGGTCACAAGACCAGTCAAGCAAAGCAAAGCAAAGCTCAGGGTGGATCACAAAGTCACCACACAGTCCGAGCACAAGAGCAAGGCCACAAGGCCAGTTCACATGCAGGAGTACACACATATATATATAAAGCTAGACAAGTAAGAGCAGGTATATATATGTGACAGTACAAGTAAAGTCAAGAGGAGAGCAAGTGAGGCAAGACAGGTACAAGACCCAGCTGGGTGCAGAAGCGCTGATGGTCACAAGGCGCGAGTGCCTTGGTGAACACATCAGCAGTGTTGGCCTCAGAGGCCACGTACGCAAGCCGCAACTGTCCACGCTGCTGTAGCTCACGAGCAAGGAAGTAGCGAAGAGCAATGTGCTTCGTTCTGTGCTCCAGACGCTGCTCTCGACACAAGGATGGCCTTGTTGTCTACGTACAGCACTGGAGGAGAACGAGGCGGCTCTCCAAGGTCAGTCAGCAGGTAGGTGAGCCAGCGAAGCTCCTGTGCAGCCATGGCCCCTGCGTAGATCTCAGCCTCACAACTCGAGCTGAGAACCGAAGACGAGCGAGTAGCCCGCCACGAGACAGAGCCGGAGCCAAGGCTGAAGGTGTAACCCTGTGACGACCGCTGCGTAGCCTGGTCGTCAGCCCAAGAAGCGTCCGCGTGACCTGTAAGTACCACTGGACTCCGCCCTCCAAGCACTAGCCCCATGCCCGACGTACTGCACAGGTAGCGCAATACCCTCTTCGCTGCAGCCATGTGCTCTGGTCGGTGTCTCCCAGGAGCAACATAGCGTGCAAGAATGCTAAGAGGGTATGCAAGGTCAGGTCGTGTGCAGGTCATCAGGTACATGAGGCAGCCAACAAGCTCTGGGTACGGGCCACTCGACTCTACGGACTCATCTGAAGGCAGAGCTGAGAGCGAGTGGCGAGTAGACAGAGGAGTGGCCTGAGGCGAGGAGTACGTGAAGCCGAAGCGCTGAAGGACCTGCTGCACCATGTGTGACTGAGTCAAGGTAATGGTGCGGCGTGCTCTGTCCCGAGTGATCTGCAAGCCAAGGTAGCTGCGCAGTTCACCCAGGTCTGTGCACGTGTGTCTCTTCAGCAGCTCGGACTTCACGTAGGCGAGTCCAGCAGTGTCCGCTGTGGCAAAGACCAAGTCGTCGACGTACACGAGGATGTAGAACGGCGGCAGTGAAGTGTCGGTGCGCAGAAACAGCGACGGGTCAGCAGTAGAAGGAGCAAACCCAAGGGCCGCAAGTGTAGTCCTCAGTGTGTCGTGCCACTCACGTGGTGCCTGGCGGAGACCGTAGACTGGCCGTCGGAGGCTCCACTGGGTGCCAGGAGGGAAAGTCCCAGTGAAGCCAGGTGGACGGCGCAGCCAGATCTCCTCGTGCAGGCTCCCCTGCAAGAACGCAGTACTGAAGTCAAGAGAGTGAAGCTCGTAGTCGCGCTGAGCGGCTATGTGCAGCAGCACCCGAAGAGTGGTCATCTTCGGGGTGGGAGAGAAGGTCTGAAAGTAGTTAACTCCCTGCCGCTGACTGAAGCCACGAGCGACGTACCGCGCCTTGAAGACAGGTGGAGAGCCCGGCGGCCGCTTCACCCTGAAGATCCACATGCCACTGACGATGTTCTCCCCAGGAGGGGGAACCGCGTCAACGTAGGTGCCTGTGGACTTCCAGGAAGCCATCTCTGCATCCATAGCTGCCTGCCACTGAGACGAGTAGGGACCCTCTACGGCCTCCGCGTAAGAGCGCGGAGTCGGGATGTCTAGTGCATCCGGGTCTCCCTCAGGAGCAAGCAGTACAGACGCGAGATGAGGTGAAGCAGCAGCCAGACACTGGAACTCCTCCTGCCTGTCCTCTAGGACGTCCGTGCCAAGAGCACACTCACCCCCGACGGACGGAGGACAGACAGAGGCAGACTCAGCAACAAGACTAGCAGTGTAGTCTAGACGACAGCGAGCAGCAAAGTCGACGAGCTCAGCGACAAGAGCAGACGCAGCAGCGGACTCAAAAGAGGGGTCAGTGACGACAGTAGCAAGCAGACGCGTGACAGTAGGACTGGCAGCACGAAGGGAGTCCGACTCTGGGTCGGTAAGCACAGGAAGGGAGGACTCTGGAGGAGAAGGCAAAAGGGCACGCAGAGGAGCAGTGGACGGACGCAGAGACATCCGGTGCGTGCCAGGGACAGGAGGAGGACGCGGACGCGAACCACGACCACTAGCGCGGGCAGCACGAACAGGCGACGCGGGACGAGACGCAGGCTCACGACGCTCAGTAAGACCTCCAGTAGGACCAGTGTAAGGAGAGGGAGCAGGCAGTGGGGAGGTAGGCTCCAACAGTGACTGCGACTGGACAGGCTGTGGACACTCTACCGGAGGAGAAAGACCAAGAACCTGCTGCAGAAGCGGAACGAAGTACGGCCGAGGCCGCGCGGCAGCTCCAGACTCAGCAGGGACAGCACCAGCACCCTCAGCGGCAGCACCAGCGCCACCAACACCTCCAGCGGCAGTACCTCCAGCAGCACCAGCAGCAGAACCACCGTCAGGACAGAAAGCAGCAGACTCAGCACCACCGCCCTCAGCAGCCCCAGCTCCAGTAGGACCCGCAGGCGTAGCACCTCCGGGACCGGCGGCACCAGCACCCTCGACGGTCGGAGAAGCTCCAGCTCCAGCAGTACGCCTCCAGCGGCGAGCAAACCATTCGCGCAGCTCCTGTGGAGAGAGGGGCTCCCGCCGAGACGCAGCACCAGGAGAAACCCCAGGCTCAGCGGCTCCAGACGTAGCACCCCCAGGCTCAGCAGCCCCAGACTCAGCACCCCCAGGCTCAGCAGCTCCAGACTCAGCACCCCCAGGCTCAGCAGCTCCAGCTCCAGTAGGACCCGCAGGCCCAGCAGCTCCGGGACCGGCAGCACCAGCACCCTCAGCAGTCGAAGGAGCTCCAGCTCCAGCAGCACGCCTCCAGCGGCGAGCAAACCACTCGCGCAGCTCGTGTGGAGAGAGCGGCTCCCGCCGAGACGGAGCAACCGGAGAGCCCCCAGGTCCAGCAGTCGCAGGCTCCGCACCTCCAGGCTCAGCACCCCCAGGCTCAGCAGCTCCTGACGTAGCACCACCCAGCTCAGCACCCCCAGCAGCAGCACCCCCAAGCTCAGCACCCCCCGGCCTCGCACCCCCAGGCTCAGCACCCCCAGCAGCAGCACCCCCAAGCTCAGCACCCGCAGGCGTAGCACCCCCAGACTCTGCACCCGCAGCAGGACCAGACTCAGCAGCAACCTCGACTGGCTCGACTGTGTCTACCTGGGACACACCTGAAGGGGCAGGAACCTGAGGGGGGAGGGGGTCTACCGGGGGGGGAACTGGCACCAGGAAGTCCGGTGGGGGGGGGAGGGAAGGAGTACGGTAGGGGAAGAGGCGGTAGAAGGGGACTGACTCGTCGAACGTGACGTCCTGGGAGGACAGAACACGACGAGAGGAGGGGTGGTAGAACTGCCACCCTGGAGCGTCAGGGGGGAAGCCAAGGAAGACACAGGGAGCAGCACGGGGGGACAGCTTGTCCGCAGACAAGTCGCGGACAAACGCCCGAGATCCCCAGACACGGAACGCAGACGCATCGCCGACCTTCCCCGTCCACAGTAACACTGGGGACATATCGGGCCGAGAGACCCTGGGGTGAAGGTTGAGCTGATGCGCCGCGTACCGAACCGCAAACTGCCACAGAAAATGGGGGGCAGCCGCATGCATCATGGACGTACGAGCGACATCCATGACCATGCCAATGCGGCGCTCAGCAATCCCATTTTGTTGTGGAGAGTCCGGAAGCGTAAAGGTCTGGCGGATCCCCTGTGCACGACAGTAGTCGCGCAGAAGGCGAGAGGAGAACTCCCCACCTCGGTCTGAGTGCAGACGCAGAACAGGAAAGTCCGAGCCGAAGCTCCTCTTGAGCTGGAGACGAGCCTCGCGGATCCAGTCGATCAGCACTTCAGTGACAGCACCCTTGCTGCGCAAGGGGAAGACTGTGGTGTAACGCGAGTAGTCGTCAACCACCAACAGGAAGTAGCGCTCGTGACCCTGCCCACGGACGGGGGCCGGGCCCCACACGTCCATGTGAAGTGTCTGCAGAGGAGCCTCTGTCGGGGGAAACTGGGAGGAGTGAGGAGCAGCCCTGAGGCGCCCCTCGACACAGGGGACACAGGAAGGTCCTGGTCCCGAAGGAAGGGGAGGGAGAGACTGGAGAAGACCAGAGACAAGGACACGGGAAGCTATGCCCCGAAGACGGGGCAAGGAGGGGTGGCCAAGACGGTGGTGCCACAGGAGAGTCTCGTGAGACAAGAGGCGACACGAGCAGGGGGCAGACTCAGGACCAGACCTGGACGCAGCAGCAAACACTTGACCTGACGCTGCTACCTGACCGGACGCAGGGACAGGAGGAGACTCAGTGGTCAGGGTGTAGAGGCTCGACCCCGGCCGACGCGAGAACGTGGCCAGGTGCCGGCCTGTGCGTGCGTCCGTGCAGTGGGTCACCCGCTGACTCGCAGGAGTGAACTGGTGAACCCCCGCATCCTGCAGGTCTGCACCACTCACCAAGTTCGTCGAGAACGAGGGGAGGTACAGGCCAGACAGGGTGCCCGAGGGGGCAGCCGGACACGGGAGGACAGTGGAAAAGTGAGCGAGGACAGGACCCCCAGAGGGGTCAGCCAGGGAGACTGCAACAGGCCGACCAAGCGGCGTGAGTGT